CCCGCTCCCGAGGGCCCTGTGCTTCCCGAGGGGCCGTGGCGAGGCCTGGCCTGGCCCTCCTCTTGGGAGCCGTTACCATCTTTCCAACGGCTGCTGTCTGCCCTGCTGGCTCTCCTACCTCAGATTTCCCATTAACATGCACATTGCATTCCTAGGGTTAGGTTACAATATCTGACTCTGGCCAGACCGGCATGGCTCAGTGATTGAGCGTTGACCTATGAACCAGAAGGTCAAGGTTCAATTCCTGGTCAGTCAGGGCACATACCCGGGGTTGCAGGCTTGATCTCCAGTAGGGGGCATGCAGGAGGCGGCCAATCAATGATTCTCTCTCATCATTGATGTTTCTATCTCTCTCCCCCTCTCCCTTCCTCTCTGACATCAATAAAAATATATTTTTAAAAAATAGCCTGACTCTGGGCCAGGCCTGCCCGATTCAGGAGCCCGAGCACCAGGGCAGGGCCAGAGCAGGGCAGGGCGGGGGAGGGGGGGAAAAAGGCACAGGGTGGAGGACTGGGATTTGGGCCGCGGCTGGGATCTGTGCTCGGCCAGGCCCCTCCCCCTGGCCTGCTCTTCCGGACACTCCCCCAAAGTCCTCAGGGCTCAGCCCTGAGACCCCACCACTACCACCACCCTCCTCTGAGCTCCCATGAGCTCTGTGTGGACCCCAAATCTCAAAGCACAGCCTCCCCGAGCTGCAATGGTCTGCTTACAATTGTCTCCCCGACCCCTGAGGCTCTGGGCTCCCTGCGGGCGGTGGGGGGCAGGGCAAGGGGGGAGACTGCCACTCAGAAGCCCTCCCAGTCACTCAGCCAGCGCTCAGGGGGCACCCCAGGCCTGGGAGCTGGAGGGAGGGACAGGGTCCTGCTCACAGACTAAAGGGCAGGTGACAAGCTGAGGGACGGTGGGAGGATGGAAGGGACGGGGGGGGGGTGTGGAGGAGGCACCTGGGATGCCCGCTCCGAGCCCGCCAGGTCCACCAGGAACAGCCTCCCGACGCGCACGCCCTCCGCCAGGTGGTGGCCGCGGCCCTGCCGGCGCACGGTGACCTGCAGCACCGCGTGGGAGCGCGAGGACGTCCTGTTGGCGGCCGTGGGCTCCTGCGTGCGCTGCCGGTTGCCTCTGGTGAGGAGCTGCATGATCTGAGGACAGAGCCCGCGTGGGGGGCGGCGATTAGGGCCCGAGGGGCTCTGTGCTCCCTCCAGATCCACCGGGCAAGGGAAGGGGTGACCCGAGCTCCTGGGGCAACTCGTGCTGGGGTGCTGATGCAGCACCTCATCAAGGGGAAGCGTTATCTGGTTTGCGGGTGAAGTGACTGATTCACGGAGAAATGGCAGGTGGCTGGGGCACATGTGGCCCCTTGCCGTCCTCTGCCTGTGGCAGACATCACCAGTGGATTACCCATCTCCTCCCACAGAGCCGGGGCAGCCAGAACCCTTCTCAATGCAGATCTCAGGCCCCGATGGAGCCGCAGGTGGGCAAACCCTCCTGCGAGCAAGCAGCTGTGGAAACCATGCCCAGGAGGCTCTGCTCAGCACCTACTGTGTGCACACATGCTAGGACTGCAGAGCAGGGGTGAAGGAAGACGGCACAGTGCTTGCGACCGAATAGGCAAGAAGCCCGGCATCTACTTGCAGACCCTCGCCGACCTCTCCCCGCCCGAGCCCACAGGGCTGGAGCATGGCCATGGGGCGGGCTGAGCCCTTGAAGGTTCCTGGGCGGTGGGAGCCCACCCAGAGGGCAGTGCTGTGAGGGTGGCACTGGGGAGCCTGGGGGCAGAGAGCAGGGGCAAGGCTGCAGAGATGCCCACACTCGCCCTCGCTAAGGAGCCACCTCAGGGTGGGGAGGGCACCCAGGGTCACTGAGGCCTCCTGCGTAACTGCAACCGATAAGGGGGGGCGCTGAAGAGGGGCGTCTGAGCGGGGAGGAGTGGGGACCTGCAGAGGGGGGTCTTGAGCCGGGGTCTGTGGGGAGCCTGCCTGGAGCGCAGGCCAGGAGGGCGGGGAGGTGCAGATGCTGCCCAGCCCCGAGCTGAGGAGCCACGCTGGGCCGTGTGCCCGGCTCTGCTGGGAACCTGAGGAGAAGGGCCTCCTGGCCTCTCCAAGCGTGGCGCCTGGCCCTCACCTCCTGGGCATTCGAGGTGGAGACCTCTGTGATGCCCGCGATCTGGATGCTGCCCCTGGCGTCCTCCCTCAGCTCCAGGAGCCCCGAGGATGGGTTCAGCAGGTCCCGGATCACCTCGTTGTAGATCTGGGCGAGACAGAGCAGCCGGAGAAGCAGAGGGCAGGGCTCACGTCGCTGGGCTCTGCGTCCACCAGAACCCGCTGCTCGGAGGCGGAGGTTTGCAAAGGGCATTCGGGGTAACGCGCCCGCCTGGCAGGTCAGGCGCCTGAGGCAGGTGGCAGGCTCACCTCCAGGTAAGACATGGACACGCTGGAGTCCACGCTGTCCCGGGTCCGCTCGATGGCCCGGAAGAGGTCGGCGAGGGTCTGCAGGTAGATGCCGGGCTCCGCGTCCATGCCCAGCATCGTGTGGGTCTTCCCGGCCCCTGCGGGCACCACACCCACCAGCCCTGAGTGGGTGCAGACCCCGGAGACTATGCCCGCGCCGCCTCGATTGCGCAAACCCTCCCGCTGCTGACGTCTTGCTTCCTATTCTGGTAACAAGGGTAAAACCGTCAGTCCGACCCGGCCAGCGGGGCTCAGGTTTTGAGCGTTGACCTATGAACCAGGAGGTCACAGTTTGATTCCCTGTCAGGTTTGTGGGCTCGGTCCCCAGTGGGGGGCGTGCAGGAGGCAGCCGGTCCACGATTCCCTCTCATCATTGATGTTTCTGTCTCTCTCTCCCTCTCCCTTCCTCTCTGACATCAATAAAAATATATTTTTTAAACCCACAACACCCTCAGCGGTCCCGGCTGCCTGCAGAGGAACCGGGGCTGAAGGAGATGCTGGTGTTGCGGGCAGAGGGACGGGGTCTCTGTCTCTCTCCTCTCCAAGGTGTCTGAGCCATGTTGTAACCGAATGACCGCATCACGCTTTTTAAGGAGTCTCTTCATGGGGCCCCC